CTAATTCCTCCACAGCGTTACTCTATTTGTGCTGTTACGTGATCCCTTCGAGTAGATTGGGAACATAGCCGGTTAATCGTGCATCATAGCAACCACTGATTTCCCCCCCCCCCCCTTTATTGATAGCAACTTCTGGGCGATCCAGAAGGCATCTACGCGCGACACACCTTCAAAACTTTGCCACGGTATTTATCCTTGATCAGTATCCAAGCGTGCCAAGGTACAGAGACGCGGCGCTTCGGCAGGCCAAGGAAGGACTTGCGTTCGACGAGTTGTGTCTTTTTCCTGCGGTGCTGCGCTTTCGTAAATATTTTCACATGTTCTCAACAACAATTTTCACCGTTTATGCAATGTCTTGAAAAAACACTTCTTCGGCAGATGACGACGAACGAGCAGAAGACGTGTCTTCAGCACCCTGCCGCCTAGCCTCCGCAATGCTCCAAGACGTCAATTTTCCGTGTCCCACGATCGCCGTCTGGTGGCTGCGACTGGCTGCAGAGAGCTCGCCCCGTCTTCGCTGTCGTTTTCGCCGTCAGATGGTGGCCGGCCTCATACTCGTCGGGATTCGATAAACTGGGGTCGGTAAAACGGTGTTCGCTAAAACGAGATTCTCTAAACTGAATGCCTCCGATCGGGAGTCTCGTAGAATTTACCAGGTCTTTCCCACCGGCGTGCGCGCGCCGGGTTTAACGAACGCCGTTTTACCGACCCCAGTTTATCGAATCGCTTCAAAGAAAGTCTCGGTTTAGAGAAAAGGGTGATGAGCCTCCTTTTAACGAATTCGGCCGCCGTGAAGCGGCGTGTACGGGTGGACCAGGTGGGCTAACATTTTTGTAATGAGCCGCGCAGACTGTCGCCGCCAAGCTCCGTAAACCTTAACAGGCGGTCTAGTGATGCACGCGATTTGATGCTGCGTTGTTTTTTTGTGCGGCGGCTCGGTACGTTATCCTGTCGGCACGTGGCGGCGGCTTTCTGCCAGGCGTGTGGGCGCGATGACTGAGCGTTTGAGGCGATATGCCCCCCCCCCCCCCCCCCCCCCCCCCATGTGGAGTTCCTATATATTGCTATACCTACGGTAGCAGAGTTGCGCATTCAGCCTTGGCGGGGGGCCGTAGCGTCGGCTTTCCTGCACGCGCTGGATGCTTTGCTCATCACGTGACTAAATTTGGCGAATAGCTGCGCCGCCGCGCATGGAAACCCCGGCCATCCGGTATTCGATACAACTAAATTAATCCCCCTTGCGCTTTTTCCGACATGGCCCACCCCCTCCCCTTCTATAAAACTATTCCTATCTCCCCCCTTTACCCCCAACTTTTCTCACCACACCCCTTCCCCCTGAGAGGCAGTGACCAACGCGCCCGCTGCGCATTCACTATTAGCCCTCTCCTCTCCCCCTCTCCCCATCTTCATTCACAACGCTTAGTAGTGGTAGTAGAAAGAGAAGGAGGCGAAAACAGCGGAACATACGCCGGGGCGCGTGCAACGTCGGCGGAGCGACCGTAAAGGTGGCTTTCTTGCACGGCGCTGGATGCTTTTCTCCTCACGTGATCGATCTTGGCGAATAGCGGCGTGGCGGCGCGGGGAAGGCAAATGCGCAACTCTGCCCCCCTTCGGGGGAGCATATCGAGGAACTCTAGCACCGTAAGGTGGCCTCTGGTTGGTTTCGGTCTCGACGGGCTCGCGGCTGTGTTGATGCGTTATGTCGTTTTCGCTTAGTTATGCGATATAAATATATCCCATCTGGTGAAAGAAGAAACGATGCAGTGGTAATGGGACAGCTTGAAAAGTGTGACGTAATTACGAGCCTAAATTGTGGACGTATTCCAAACACCTTCATCTGATCATGTTCTTTGTTCGGTCAGGTTCGGTGGCGAAACGACTGAAATAATGCCGGGGGAGGATTACGGATGTGATCTGCCGTACAGGAGGTACTCGCTAAAACTTGTTTACATAAAAATAAACGAATGAAAAGGCTAATGCATGGAGGCACAGTGAAAAACCAGGTCGACGACTTGACTAACAATGTGCTGGATCGCATAGAACCGATGAACTCGCAAGCTCATCTGTTCATCAGCATTCTATGAAGTGGTGCCAGGCACAACCTCATGGAATGCAAAAAGGAAGCGATAATGTCTCCATCGGTTTCTTTAAAGAAATTAAGTACTCGACAGATGTTTCGACGGTTCACCCTAGGTCGAGTAGCAATTTTTTTTTTTAGCTATCAGCGCACCGCTAAAGTATTCATTAGCAGCATATCACAAGGTTGGTCTTAGGAAACTATTTTTCTACGGACATTTCCTTACAACGTCTTGAGAATACGAGATAAGGGAAAAACCCGTCATTTGTAGTCTGACGTTTGTCTTCTGTATAATTTGCGAAATAAAATTAAAGGCGCAAGCAATTTGACCTCTAGCAAGCAGCTTGGCTTGCTCAAGTCAAATGCCAGGCACCGCTTCATGGATTTTGGTAGACAGATATTTATTTGTTTGAACAGATACGCTTTTTACTTTGAGCGGTTTCGAAAGTGAATCCGGGACATCGACAACGCTTCACTCGAGTGATTTCCACCCAGACGGCATTTTTTCGGCGTCACATATTGCGTGCCTCAGGCGCTTTTGTCAGGCGCTCACAAGATGCCTTTGACACGTTTTTCACCCGGTGGGCCACCGTTTATGTCTAAATGACTTAATTTAATTGGACATCTTAGGAAAATTGAATGACTGCAGACATTAGACCGATCACAATATATATAGTTCCCTAAATTCATAAATAAACAGATATCAAAAGAAAGTTTATACCGCGAAAATTATTCTTCCATATAATGACACAGCTGTTTTGGATTCGTTATGATGGCAGAGCACGATGCTTTAAAAGAACACAGTGACTGCTTCCGTTGAATTTGCCTTCTTTAAGATCATAACTGCGTTATCACAAATGTACCTTGCGCTTCTTATTGTGCCAAAATCAATAATGGCATGCAGTTAGGCAGTAAAAATAAGTACCATGCACCTCACAAAGTAAGGCGAAAAATCGCAAAAACGCGACAAAAAAACACGAATACAACGCCGTCGCCAAGGCGCGGAGGGGAGAGGAAGCGACGAGTTAAAGCCACCTTATGGCGGCCGCGTTACGTGATTCCAAGATGGCAGCGCCCATGCAACGGAGGGTGAAAATCTAAACACAAATTCGGTTTCCCCGTAAGATTTAGTGGGAACATTGACGTCACCTTACCTCGCCACCAATTCAGTTTCTGGCTAAATTTAGTGGGAAAAATAACATCACATGACTTCGTGTTACGTCACCTACACACAAATCTAGTCCCCCCCCTCCCCCCCCCCCCCGCTGATTTAGCGGTAAAATCTACCCGTCACGTGGTCTCAACACTAAATTAGGTTCCTTGGTAAATTTAGAGAGAAAATCACGTCATATGACTTCGTGCCCCGTTACCTATAAACGAATTCAATTTCCCCGCTAGAGTTAGCGATAAAATTGACTTCCCATGGCTTCACCAGTTTAGGTTCCTTGGTAAATTTAGCGGTAAAAATGACGTCACATGACCGTGCCACGTGACCTTTACGCAAATTTAGTTTCCCTTCTAGATTTAGTGGGAAAATTGACGTCACGTGACCCTGCCACCAATTCAGTTTTCACGCTAAATTTAGCAGAGAAAACGATGTCATGATTTTATGTTACGTGATCTATACACAAACTCAATTTCCCCACTAAATTTAGCACAAAAATTTACGCGAAAATTGACGCCGAAATTCCTCCCGAACTGCGCTCTAATTTCGCATTACAGTTGAAGTTTAAACGTCTATGTTTTCAATTTTTTATCTGGGACATGGAGCGAAAAGCCGGTCTCAATAACACAGCTACTAGACCCTGTCCAAAGTCAGTGTCTAAGCAGCGTCGTTTTTCCTCACCCTTACTATTCGCTGTGGAACTGAGCCATCGGCTCAGTTCAGCTCAGTGCTATAAAGTTTTATATATATCGTGAGCCTGCGGGTAATTGACACAGCCACTGCATTGAGTTCTGAGTAGCAACCGTAACCAGTATGAGACCTCATTGATCAGGGATTAGTTTATTGTTTTTGCATGTTCACATCGCTACCTTTACACCGAGCTCTTTCATATCAAAGTGCACATGAGCCCCACTTCATCACAAGCAGTGAACGGCTGGTATTTCGTGATGTAAAATGATAAAATATAACAACGATGGAAACTTTGGTGGTTTCTGTGACGCACCCTAACCCATAGCGACTAACCCAAAGCGACTTCAATTTCTTACAGCTTGGGTATTTCGACAAACAAGACTAACGATAAAGCGCTTAGCCTCGGAGAATCGAGGTATTTCAAATGACCACTTCTTCGACAACGGTTGCTTTTGACATGGTTATAAGAGAACGGGTCAACTTTTGTGAGTTAGCAATTGCAGACATTCTGCGGAAAAATGGCATCCTACGGGCGCTTGTTCCTCCCGTACCACCCCCCCCATCTCTTCCGCTTTCAGTGGGGCAGCCAAGTATGCGGCACAGATGATAAAGCAGAAGTTGAAGGTAACTTTCCACAATTCGGTGACTTTCCTTCGCAGATAGCCATGGAATGCTTTTGTCGTACAAAACGATGCCACATTAGGCGATGGGCTGTAGTCCTGCTGAACTTCATCGGTCTGGAAGCTAAAGTCTGTGCTGGGTTTGCTATGGCCAGATTTTTTAACACCGGCGATTCTAAAGCAGCTTCATCACAACATGCGGAGCAACGTGTCCCAGCATTCTATTCGTATTGATAGGCAACACCTACAGTATTATAAATTTGAAGAAAGTCGCGTTCGAAAATGCATGCACTGTAGTTGGTTGTGACGGGATGTCGTGAATGAAGGTTGGCAAATCCAAACCTAAACCCGGACCCTTGGGTTCCCAAGGTGCTTTGCACGGCACTATGCCGCTAGGATCGCTTGGTTTTAACAAGCGGTCTATTGGCAGAGCCCTCGAAATTCCCAGGCTGCCTTGCGCATGAGGCAAGAGTATGTGCACTCTTTTACGAAGCACTCTGTTAGAGGTTAGAGCCCCTGTGGAGGTTTTCCCTGTACGATTTTATTGAATGCAGTCAGATAAAACAGTTAAAACTAACTCCAATAGAGCTACTGCACTATAGCCTGTCGCAGGTTAAGAAAGCCGAACAAGCTCCACCCGCAATGCCCTTCACTTATTTTAACAAAGCGAACGCTGCAGAGAGGAGGCGAGAATGGACTCCTCTCCAGCGTGTGCGCTGCTGAAGTGGAAAGAGTGGAGAGCTTCGGGGGAGGAGCAGGTGCTGCTTTTTTTAACCTGCAACAGACTATAATGGAGTCGCTCTGTTGGAGTAACTATAAAATATTTGAAACTAAAATTGATCAACAGATTGTGTGTTGTCACACAAGCTGATCGTCTGGACTCTGGAAGGTGCTGTCCTGCCAATCACTGGCGTCGCATTTTCCTGAAAAGTCGAAGAAGTATTCGCTTTTACTTATTTGTCTGACAATATGCGTTGCAATGGCTTTCTCCACTTGCTGAGATGTAAACAGTGCCTATTAATATAACTATTCATGCCAAAAAAAAAAAAAAAAAAAAAAAAACACCACCTGAACAACTTCCTGGAGGAGAGGGCCGTGTTCGCGGCATCGGGCATGCTTAAAAGCCCAGAAACAAGGTGTTCTGTGGTTGGTGCGGTTCTCTATTTACATGCCTATTCAAGTGAATATCGTGCATTGAATTATTCAGCGGGCTTCTACGTTGGTTCAACATAACGGTAAAAGGATTCCTTTCTTTTTAATAAAAAATAATTAAAAATGTTACGTTTTATAATCGTTTTATAATTTTGAAACCTGTTATGCGGTGGTGAGTCACGTTAAAGCAATCGGTAGTTAAAATGCTAACGCAAGTTTTTCAATTTTTTCAGTACGGACAATAAAAAAAACGAAGCTGGTATACAAAGAATTTAAAAGGGAACCCTTCGAAGTGCGAGCTGACGTGTCGCTAAGAAACCTAGCTTTTCCAGGGCCCTAAAGAAGCTAAGTGTTAGCAAACACTGACCGCACTAGGTTCTATCATAAAATAGTAGCGATCCGAATAGCGCGAAAAGAGATCACCGTATTTCACAAATCTTAGCATGTTAACACTACAGTTTCCTAGCCCGAGACCCTTTCGACAGCCCAAAACTGGTCTGCGAGAGACCTTAACAATGAAACAGATCAAAGACGAAAACGTTCCAGGTATGGAACCTAAATATTTTCGACGCGATTTTGTTTCTCAAATTAACTCGAAATGTAGGAAAACATGCATAGATGCTTGCGCGGGTCGGTACAATATTTAACATTTGGAACGCATTATTTGTTTTTTTAACTCCAGCTGGTTTTTGGCAATTATATATTGCGGCAATCATATATTGCGGCAATCCCTCATTTCCACCAGAACAAAGATTGAATGAACGGGCTCACCTGTTAACATTGGGCTCTTTGTAAGAGGGTACCGAGAGTTTGCGAGGTCGCTCACTTCTTCTCGTAGGTGGTGGTGGGGGCTCGTCGGCCGTTGCTGCAAGACAGGATGGCAACGACTCGCACACAACGGTTTCTAAGGGCTCATTTAGGCGCTCTCATTTGAGTGTGATCTGCTGAGCTGTAAGCACTTGTGACCGCTTATGACGAGAGTGACGAGAGGAGACACTGGTGCCATCTATTGGGTAACACTGTAACACTTTTAATTTGCGTACATTTGACCATTTTTAAATCCGATTGCTACCAGATTTTTTAATGCGCCAGCGTGCTTAGGAAGCGCATCCTCTCGCTGTAAGCGGTACCAAGCGGTTATGCCGACAGATGTGTGAACCTGCGTGAGCCCGATAAGAGTGGTTGTTTCGTCGAAAAATCTTTTCACCGAAAAACCCATTCAGTGTTGGTTTTACCATGCACGTTTCGTGGACAAACGTGACGTGCTTATTAGCTGTGGCAATAAGACGGTTCCACGAAACGCCTTTTTTTCTTTTCGGTGTCCACCACTTTCGCCATTAGTTTACACGCAGACGCTTAGTTATTGGCGTCGTTCTTGGTGTTGGTGAGACGCTGAAGCGTGTCGAGCGGCTCGGGATTTTAGTTTACGCAGATTTGTTTGCTTTCCGAGCCGCCCAGGCGACATCTACCGCGGCCTTTTAGGCCGCCGACGGGTCGATTTCTCATTCCCCATCTTGTCTTAAACTTGAATAAAGACTGGTACGTATAAAAATCGAGTACCAGATGATGCTCCTTTTGTCATTGACTACTCCGGCAAACGCAATCGCTCATAACGCAAAAAAAAAATAAAAATAAAAAAATAACCTCGACCGATTTGGAAAACACTGCCTTTCCGCGCGTAGAACGACATGCGGCTTAAGTGTATTAATATGGTACCCGACGAGATTTCGAGCCGGAAAGAGTTGTTCGTGTCACTAGCAGACGCAGTTGATACTTAACGCTTGCGTCCGCTCTATTTGTGACATAGTACAACATAAACACCCTACGGTACGCACCGGGTTTCTTGACCGGAGGATAAAATCATCTCTAATGCAATGCATCTTCTATTAGTGTCCTGAAGTTAATGCAAGATCGAACACGAAGAAGCTTCAGGAATGCCATGTGCCAGATTGGCAACCTCCTCCCAAGGCGCTCCAGAAACGCAAAATTGTTTACTAATCATTTAGAGATAATCCTGACCACCGATTAAAAACCGTACCACTCTAAGAAATCTGCAGCGTGTATACTTTTCCGCAAAGCACTTGGGAAAGTCAATCGCTGCTATCTGCGGAAGTAGCTATGCGAACGCCAGCTTGCGATGTGTGCATGGCGAAACGTCATGCTGCACTGTCGCAGCGCAGGATGCTGTTTTTCTTTTTTTACAGCGAAGCTGTTTATGGCTGGGTTCCGTGGATTTTTCGTGTGCGTCAACAAAAACTCAGTCCCGAATTCGATGCAAAATCGCTTCATTCTATGCAAAAACTTACACGTCTCATCACTTGGATATGCATTTCCAGTACACAAGTTATCAATAGGCACCATTTTCAAGATCAGTATAAACTCGGGTAGATAATAAAGGTTTCTCAAAGATTTACCGCTGCGCGACCGCGTCGCTCTTGTCTACGCCCGCACCGTCCTCTCTTTGTCGTCGTTCCAAGCACTTGCGTGCCTAGTTTTCTTTCCTTCCGCTCTCCCGGGGTGGCGGTGCCGTCGCGCTTGTCTACTTTCCTCCGGCCCCTCGGGGCGGGTCTGTCACCTGTGTCGTGTGCTAAACAGCTTCGCTGGTCATCCACCTTCACTAAATAAAATGGCTCGTGATTTTGTTTTTGTTTTTTATGTCTAAACATGTTCGCTTTTTAAGTGCTTTGCTGGAAATCAGTCACTCCAGGTTTCCAAGAGTGATTACCTGAGGAAACTAAGAGCAGTGTGCACCACACCTTCATCAGGCTTCTCTGCTGATTTCTCCTGGTCGGAGGTGGCTGCACGACTCTGCAGCCAGAAGGGCATTTTACTGCGCTCGCCCGTCCGGGAAGTTGAGACTCGTCCACTCCGCGAACCTTCGGGGGCAGGCTCAGCTTTGTCAATGAGGGGCTGTCCCGGTAAAACCGTTGTTTGTTTCGACGCCCCTGGGGTTTCATCGGCACGCGCGTTCTTCGACGTGAAGAATTTATATCGGGGGTTCTTGGTTGGAGTCTAAAAGGAAGTGTTCAAGAATAAATTGGAGCAAGAACCTCAACGGTAGTCAGCACTTTCAGTCTCAGATTGGAATGCATTGTACATCTACGTTTTGACGCGCATACCAGATGAAACTTGCATTTCGAGGAGGGAAACCAAAAGTTAATACAATGAAAGCGACGGGAGAATTAGAACGTCAGTTATGATAACACTCAACATCATGTTCTAGATGTAAGCAGGCAGCAATATAAAATATAAATAACAACCTTTTTCGTCAAAATACTGCATGGGAATTGGAATACCTTCTTGACATTACATGTGGAAAATCATCTTGATTTAATCTCTTCAAAGTAGCATAACCCAAGATCTATGAATTTTTTTTTTTACATATTTACAATAACATGAGACTTGGTATTAGGACCGGATCACATATAGGTTGTGCTCACGTCATCGGCGCGTATGTGAGCTAGTCTCTTCAGAAGACATGCTTATTCAAGACAGGCGCGGCTGTAAACAAAAGCACGTTCAGCACGTCCTGCGGTGTCTCAGTTTCCCACTTGTTTCTTTTGGCAAGGATTTTTTAATAGTGTTGCTCTAAACACGAACTGGCAGTGCACCACACAAAATGCTTCATAGCTGCTTGTTGGCACTAACGAAAAATAAAGCATTAAATACTCTTACTGTTATTACTATTACTATTATTATTGTTGTAGCATTTTATTCTGACAGTTTTTTCAGTATATAAAACAGCACCATAACATCATATATGTCCCATTCATTTTCTCACAGCACTGAGATAAGAAAATCGTAATCGAATCTCTATTCGAAGCTTGGGAAAATGAGTGGTGTTGAACTAATGATTTAACAATTCACAGGCTGACAAACTTAATGATACTATATATACATACACACACATATACACACACATACATATATACACATACATACACACACACATACATACATACATACATTAGGAAGAAAGGCGGAAGTGTTAATTGTGATGAACAGAAGCATGACTCAGCTAGGTTTAAGCACTGGCAGAACTAAAAAAAAAACTTCATATTAACAGTACAGAAGCTTTTGGGTGCCCTGTCAAGCCTTGTAGTCACAATAAGGAAGATATATAGGTTCCCAAAAACCCAGTTTGAAAACCCGTGCTGCGGACCTTAGGTGTCTACACGGAAACGTCATACCACGAGTGTATGCTTGGGGACTTTCGGTGATGCTTGTCCGGATGGGGAACCCTTGGCTACGGCCACCACTCCAGGACTCGTCACTTCCTCTGGACTGCTCAGGTCCTCATAGCAGACAAAGGCAATGTCAGCCAGGGGGGTAGTGTTGGAGCTTGCAGGCGATTTCCAGACAGCCGGTTCTGAAAGATGAACTCGAGTCATGTCAGCAAATCCTCGTGAAGCTCGTTGGCCAGTGTGCACAACTACCTTTGTGTCGTAGATTTTGACACCGTCATAAAGTTTAGAAAATAGCTCGTAAATGTGGTATCATATAAAAAAAATTAACGCGAACCCGACAGTGAGTCTACCCAATCAACTTATAAATGAAAATTAAAAAAAAAAACTCGGTTGGCAACCCTAGACAACATTAAGAATAACCGTCGAAACAGCGCGCGAAAAACGTACAAGGCGGCAGAAATTGATTGGACAAGTGCTGAGTTGCAACTGAGCTTTTCTTGAAGACAAAGAAAAAGCCAAAGAAAATATCACGAACCAAATAAAATAGAAAAATAGAAAACATCAAGACTCCTAGTACAAATTCTGCTGTATGTTTATAGAGCCTTGCTGCTAATGCGCCTTAACGGGTGAGTGTCTCTCGGCTGTAAATGAGCAATTAGCCAGTGCAGTACAACCGCTAATTTGGAGTCTAACTTGCACCACTCAGCAGTGATTACCCGAACGCGTACCGGTGCGAAACTCATCCAGATTGAAAAGGGCAGGGGGTGGGGATAGAACCCAGGAGGTTCTACAGCGAAAGTTTTCGTTCCACGCCCCGAGCTGAGACGCCTCAGCCCACTCGGCCACCAATCACCCTGATTCCACGCATACCTCATGATTCCCTACTTATCAATGAACTGCCTCATGCATATCAGTACAGGTATGATTGAAAGAGTTATTTCTGCCCGCTAATTTCATAACCTTCTATACTGCGTTCCACCGTAAGTCACTGCAGAGTCGAAGGACAGAAGACACAAACGGAACCGCAGGCTAAAACTCACAAGGTCAAGGTGCATGCCCTGCGCTTGATTGATTTAGCCGGTGCACATGAAAAGTGCACTCTGAAAACCGACGAGTGCCGTGACGTTGCGTTGTTAGTGCTGCTTGCTTGAACTCAACGGCTTGTATAGTACCACGGAGCTCTTGCTTAAGTTCAAGTTAACAGTGGTGGAACTGCTGAGCCATTGTGCCATGAACGAAACACTGCTACATCTGGCGTAAAATTACAATTTTTGCTAAGGCTTGCGCTACACCTGCGCCAAGAAAAAAAAAATATTGGTCAACCTTAATATTCAGAGAAATAGATGGAAAGAAAAATGGTATAAATGTGAATTTCACAGCATCTCTACTCACCGTATAGTTTATTTCGTTTTAGGTCAGAGCACGGTCGAAGACACGAACACATAGAACCACAAACACACATACTAATAGCGCAAGTCACGGGACATTCGCTGCACTTGATTGGTTTAGCGGATGGAAGAACACGTATAAAGAGATGAAGGCCATGATGTCACGCTTTGATGCTGGGCATCAACCGCTCTGGCCGGTTGATGCGCTGGCTGGTTTATCGCAGACATTGTCTAAAGACGATGTCTAAAGAAAGCTTTGCAAAATAGTAGGATTGCCGATAGCGGCTATTATGATAAAACAGAACCAGGGGTTTGAACTCCTGATCAGATCACTCGATTACCATGTCTGCCACATGGCTTTGTTCCGGGACTGCGGCGTACCGTGGCACTTGCGCCGCTCCCGCCAACCTTCGCCGCCTCTCACCAGCGCGCGCGCGTCGCGCTTCACCGCTTGGCACCGGAGTGTTAGGAGCAGCGGCTTACCTGGGAGAGCGCCTGGCTTACCGCGATATAGTCACGGTAGTTCCCGTGCAATTGTCGATCGAAAGAGTAGCGAACTTTGACGTAATTCTGGTTCCTACGCCCTTAAAGAGCCGCGTCACCTTTAAAGCGCAAGTGTAGGCTTTTATAATATTTTTGGGTGTTTTTGTTTTTTTTTAGTTTATGATATTAGAGTCCTAAGTTTGGTAGGTGCATTAATTAAACTTACGGGGCGCATTTTTATTGACAGACGCGTTAGCGGATATGCTGGTTCTTGCTGGAATTTAGCAGAAATTATATTTACAGGTTAAACGAACTACCGAGTGTAAAATGGGGTGGAGAAAAATAATTCATCCCAATGAATGTTGCGCTATGATTCACTTTCCAACCATTTTTTTTTTAATACCCATTGTAAATAAAACCTGTTCTGACCAGATCTCTATTTAAGAAGACTGTTCGTCTACGCCCGATATATTCTTATCAGAAACGGTAATAAGTAATATGCTCAAGTATCAAATACTAACCCTTGATCACTATTATAAATGAACTCGTTTACAGATGCAATCACTTTTTTATTCCCAAATGATGTGCTAACAGATGTTAGTGGCTGCTCAAAACCAATATTCTGCCTGCTACTGAACCTGCTACAAAAGGTCAAATGCCGCTTCCATCACTGAATTAAGTATGGAAATTATCTTAAAAGTTTTACCTTTATTCTTATAATGACCCAGCTGTATTATGTTTTCGTCGTCACGACGACTATAACAATCCCAGAATTCAAAGACCCCCCCCCCCCCCCCCGGCGTGTTGATCTAAAAAAACATAATCTGATGTTATTTTATTGATTACCGCCCAGTTTGGTCAATTTGCACTTTGCCAATGGTCAACACGGTTTGGTAGCCAATACCCATTACGGCTGAAACGTGCTTACGCTTGTGTTTCACATCGCAAACACGCTTATCCTGTCCCTTTTCGCCGAGCCCGGATCACAGTCTTTTGCGCCGAGTTGCGGGGGGTTGATTCATGACTCAGCATATAATTTTAGATTATAAGAGGCCCTGTGATGTTTGCAGTTCTTCGGCAGATGGTTTTGTTACATGCTGCTTGATGGTCCTTACCTGGCAGCTGCGATGTCTGAGGGCTGAAGGCGAAGTGGACATCAGAACCGGCAGCAGAGGATGGAGACGCCGGAAGGCTCGCACTAAGAGTTTCGGATAACCTCCGATGTCTCTCTGAAACGCGCGATAGGGACGGACACTTTTGAGTCCCACTGACGACGCAGGTTGCCGTGGCAGTGAAGGAGTCTTCTCTACAACATCCACTCTTAATCGGTGTCCAAACAGGATACTTCAGAACGCGTGAGGGGTGTCCAAACAGGACACTTCAGAACGCGGGAAGGGCTGTCGAAACAAAACACTTCAAGAACGCGTGAAATCACACTTCGCCATATAAAGTGCAACTTTCCGCTTCCGTCCGTTTTTTTTTTTGTTTTTTTTTTTTTTTTGGGGGGGGGGGGGGTTTGTTAAAGTTCGCTTGTATTGTTCACGAAGGCCTAGAGCATGCTTATCACGTGGATCCGGACAGCCACTCACACGCTCTGCTGGCTGTCAGTCAAACGCTGAAGGCCTCCGCTGTTATTCAAGTCTAATCCCTAAAACGGGAAAGGGAAGAATACGAAGCCGCGGTAGAAACAGATGAACAGGCACCGACATCACAGAAAAGCAGAGGAGGTGAAGAGGAGAGCGATTATGTTTGCCGGGTGAACGGCCAAACAGAAGACGGACGGCCGGACCTCAACTTTTAACTTCATTTGGTGGAGAAGTGTCTCTTCACGCGTTCCGAAGTGTCCTGTTTGGACACCCCTTGGGGCGATACTTCTCCGCCATATGAAGTGGAAGTGGAAGTTCGGCTGTCCATCTTCTGTGTGGACATGCGCCAGCCAAACATCACGGCTTTTGCTTTCCTCCTCGCCTCCTTTGCTTTTCTTGACGTCGGTGCTCGTCAGACTGGACATCACACGCTACCTGCCAATGGCGTGCCTGTTTCGTGTTCATGTGTTCTGCGGCGACCTTGTATTTTAGGGGCAGTGACAAAGCCCACAACGACGATTGCTTTGCTTCCTTTTCCGACTACGTCGCCAACACACGCATACTTTCGTATCCTTTCCTTTCCTGTTTTCGGGACCTGAAGAGCAGCGGAGGTCTTGGACGATTGACTGACAGTCAGCAGAGCGTGTAATGTCCACCCACGTGATGAGTATGAAGTGGAAACTCCTACCACCTCTCTTTACTTCACTGGAGAGGAGGCGACCTCCTCTTCTGCGTTCGCTCTGCCAAAGGGGAGGGAGGTGGCAGGAGCTTCCACTACACTCTTAACCTTGGCGGAAGGAAGCTCCTCCCAGCCCCACCCCCCCTAAAAATAAAAATAAAAAAAAAAAAAAAAAAAAAAAAAAAGCGGACGGAAGCGGTGTGTTTTTATTTTATATGACGGAGGGTGTCGCTTCACGCGTTCTTGACGTGTCCTGTTTCAACCGCCTTTCAGGCACTCCTGAAGTGTCCCGTTTGGACAGACCTTTACGGTATGGTACATGCCTTTTCAGGGCCTGACTACCCCTACAGTTTTTAACAGCCGTTCATAGAGTTGATAATAATCTGATTCTTAATGTTTTTTTCCGCTTTAGAGAAGTGCTTCTGGCCAGATGATTTTGGCTCCCATGTCCACCATAACGCTGCACTGCCAAGACAAGTCCGCCAAGACAAGTCCGCCATCCTGCATTTTGTCCCATTATTCCTGGAAAACAAATGAGATTAAAAGAAATAATAAAACTATTTGCTTGTTTAAACTGAATGTTGATTCGCACCCTTACCCCCCACCGACATTCATCTTTAACTTGTTGAAAGCAGTCAGTGTACATTTAAAATATAGTCGTTAGGCTGTGCAAAGCCTGAACACTTGATCAGGTGCGCCTGAAAGTCGACACGCTCTCAACATTTCCCCCGAACTCGTCTTAGGCGAGAAAGAATTCAGTCTTTTCAAGGCTCTGTAAACTTCAGCGATACACGAGGACGATAGCGATAAGAAGGATTAGTATGAGGATGTTTTCTTCAGCCTGGGAATTCGCTCTGAAAGGTTCGTGATCAGTAGTGCTTATTCGAGCGGGTCCATCTGTTGGTGCGATAGCACCGAGAAGACAAGGCATTACGGCCCATCGTTAGCAGTTCTCCAACCCGCCTCAAGCGGCGAACACGCCTAAGCTGGGCGAGAGCACGCCACGCAAAGCGGCAGACGCGTCTATATTGGCGGCGTCGCGTGCTAGCGTCGCGCTCGTAAGACGTTGCAAGACACGCTGGCGGCGACGTTGACGGGGGTAGGCGGCGCTGCTTGAATCCACTAGTCATGACATTTGGGAGAAAAGGCCTGGTCTTCCAGGTGGTATGCAGAGACCAAGTCGTCTGCCTTTTGCGCAGAAGTTGCACTGATGCCAGAATGATGCCGAGCACCGATTGGCTTTGGTTGAAAAAATAGTGGGTCGACCTCAATGCTAGATGCCTTCAGGTTTACTCACTATGTTTTTCAATCAGCCAATTGGAGCTCGACGTTCTGACACCATCGCAACCTCTGTGCAAAAAGCAGTCGAACTTGCGCTCAGCATTTGTTTGATTTACCTGCAGCTCATAAGGTAGGCCGAACGGGGAGGGGCAACTGTACAGCGCTGTTCTCACCCAGACGTTCGTAAAGCAGAAAGCTCGATCCCTCGGTGCACGGCGACGTGCTCAGGCGCATGTCCTCCTGGCCTGGAGCCAGCGAAGCCTGCTCGTCGGACCGCCCTGGACTCGGAGCGTGTAGGAATGACTGGCAGTCGTCGTTGCTCGGAGTTTCTGTAATGCGTACGACCCAACAATGTTAATGTTGATAACTCTAAAAAGGCCTGCAGAACTTATAAATCGGCTTTTCCTTCCCAGCGTTTGACCACATCCATGTTTGTGGAGGGCGATTCAGACGAGCCAAATGTACTATGAGCCGGGAAGGAAAAGCGCGGCACATTCTACGGAAGCTTTACAACAACCTCACATGTTTCAATCTAACACAGTTCCTTGTTCGAACTTAACAACAGTCGCTTCTCGATGTTGCTCTCCGCAAGACGAGCCCGTTTCTTTTCGTCAGCACTTCGTTGGTAAGGCTAAACAAACTTTCCACCGAAGCACTCGAAGTCACTGCCGTGTTGTACTCGAGGAAAAGGCTGTGCAATCCCTCGAAGCTGTTCATCTGCGACAGCGGGTGGTCGACTGGCACCAGCAGGTTCCGAGACAGTTGGTCCTGTGCTTCGGACTGAAGGGTTCGTTGCCCGATTGAGAAGTTTTCTGGTGTTGAGGAGACGGCAATATCTGCCCTGGCTGTGGAGGTCGCCGAAGCTAGCTCCGTCTTGAGGTAGTTAGACGCCTGGTCATATATGGAACCGTCTTCGACTTTAGATTTCTGTGCGTATGAGGATTCCCGGAAGTAAAGAAAGTAAAGAGTTCGAGATGTCCCTCTTTCTGTGTATTTTCCTTCGACTAAAAGCTTTTTTTTTTTTTTTTTGTACAGCTGTCTTGGGCATTAAAAACAGGATCAATATCCACCAGCTCGACTGCACCCCAATGTTACGGAGTGAGGACCCCACAAAATAAATCCTAGAATAAGTAACAAAAAGTTATCGAGATCGCGCTCTTCGTAAAGATAGTTCTATTTTATACAAATTCCCCTTAGGAATATTTAAAAGAAATAAATAAAAAAAAACACTGAACAGAAAAAAAAGAAACGCCGTTTTTTTTTTTCGTTTTATTCAAGATGTAACGAGTTCCCGTTCCAGTTCCACTTGGGCAGAATGAAACGACGGCGTTCCTCCGGTGCGCTCAAAGAGAGCGCCTTCCAGGAACGTGGTTCCTTGAAACGCCGTCCCGTACAACACTGACGCGAACGAAGATACCATAAAAAAAAACTAGTGAAAAGTGCGTTGAAAGGCGGGTTCTCTCGTGATAATATTTATTGCTCATCGCAAACCAACTTTACTATTTATAGTCCCGTTTCACGGCTGTGTAACTTCGTTCAAATTTATTTGCGTAATCTTGTATATCGTGCTTCGAGTCTTGTATCATTGTCATCATCAGGTCTACCGTTCTCATTAGTCTTCCGCCCCGTCTGAATGCGCCAAAGTTCTTATGCACTTTGGATTTAAGTCCGGCGGGTTTTCTGGGCCTAAATCAAAGTACTAATCGAACCAGAATGAGTTCCGACGCGGTGTTGAATGCAAATTGCTTAAAGTTCTAGGAGTTTCTGTTTTCGCAGTTCATACTTGAAAAAATGTGCGTGTTTTTTTTTTTTTTTTTTTTTTTTTTTTTTTTTTTTTGGTGCAACAATTTTGAAGGTAGTCGAATTTCTAAGCGGTAGCCTGGAATTCGTCATTTTTCTATACTTCGTTTCAGCTGAAATCCAGACGCAGCCGATGCTATCTGATGTCTGTTCGAATTAAAATGGAACACCCAATATACATTAAGCATCAAATAAAATAAAAAAAAGATCAACTCTGTTTAGATTCAGCTCTCTGTCGCCATTGGAGTGCTTCTAGACCTTGGAATTACCATTCCTTGCGACATTCGTGGGGGGGCGAGTGAACTCAAGCGAGGAAGCACACGCAGTGCAAGCCTGCTCAAGCACCGCCCTGAGCAACCGACAGTGAAGTAGTTCGGGATTAGTTCGGGAATGTGGAATGACCTCGATCTCTACACACCCAGGATCTCGGGCAGCAGCAGCTTGTCCTCGTTCTGTGCCGGTAGGTTCTGTTGGCCGGGAGAGAAAGACTCCTGCTCTCCGGTGTGGTCTTCCTCAACCACAGTCAGATCTGCCGTGAGGCGACTGCCAGGGGGGTGCAAGGACCTCCGTCTGCAGGAAAAGCACGCATCGCGCGTGTAATTTGTCCCCACAAGTCGTCGTTTTTTTGTTTTTTTTTTTTATGGGGACATTGTTTATTTTTAACTTTACGGATAGGGAGACCTAAAAAAAGACATGTTTATAGACAACTTTACGGGCCATCGGCACTCCCACAGATGTCACAACTTCAGAAAGCAGGAAGAAATTGCTAGTATAAAATATTATAATCCCCGCATGTATGCATTGATAGGCACAGTCAGGCAAGAAGTTATTGACTCCGCCCTTAAAGTGTCAAAACCCAATTTGGGGGTTTTACGTGCCAAACCAAAGACGGGTATTTGGCACGCCCCAGCGAAGGACTGAGGATCAATTTCGACCACCTGGGAATCTTTTGATGTGCAACCGAAAGCTCGGTTGGTTACACGGCGCCTTCTCCGCAATAAGCCTCAGTCAGATTGCGGGCACCTCGGCCGGGATTCGAACCCGCCACATGGGGATCCGTAGGATGGCGCTCTCGCTTCGGAGCCACCGAGGCGGCGCCCTTAAAGTGTCTCATCTCCTTTTTTGACTCATTTTAGAAACTATGCTGGCCCTTAAAGGTGCCTTGAGCAGGTTTCTGAGATCACCTAAAAAGGCGATAACTCACATTGCTTGCTCTTAGCATCCTAGAAACGCCTATATCATGACGATACGCGGCCGATTTTCACATTAAAAAGCAATAAAAGATCGCCAAACACCGACGTCATCTCCGGCGATTGGTGGAGCATGTTCCGAAACCAGGACCACTGTCAGTAAATAGCAAGCGAAGGATCTTCGCGTCTCTGACCGGTGGAACCGAGGAGTGATATCTCGAATGCGCGCGGCTCGTTGCCCATACAGCCCGGACTACGACGCTACCATAGCCTCCTCTATACTGCCAAAGCCTGGCAGATCGCCACGAGAAGCGGCCGCCGAAACTGAAAAGGTAGAGCGGCAGACAACGGATGAGAGGAGAGCCACGTGACGGGCGCCCCGCTGCGGCGAGACGCTAAAACACACTTCTCCCGAGCGATGGAATGTCCGCTCGTGCTCCTCGCGCTCCCGTTCCTTTTCTCGTCGGGTTTCAAAACCATGTTTCCGGTAATCGCCGCTGCAAAAAGCTGTGCGCTGACGTCCAGGTTCCCCGAGAAGTGTTCTGTGCTACCAGACTCTCGCGTTCCAAATCTGCGACCGGGCACATATGGCTCCGCCGTCGAACTGCCAGGCTTTGAGTATAGACATTTTCCACAAGCGCGCCGCCATCTTGAATTGTCGTCACTTCCAGTATGAGCGAAAACATTGTTTTGCCGTAGTTACGCCAATTGAAGACATTTAGGAGATAAGTGTAACCGTCACTCATTCTCGTTTTGTATCCCCTATATTTGTTTACTAGTTACAGGTTGAAGCGTTTTATTATTTTTTCGTCGCCCATACCGGATACGCCTATTATGTGGCTGTCCCTGTCACTGGCAAGTATAGACCGTTCCATTAGGGTCATAGCAGAGAGGGTAAAAAGAGAAAAAAAAATGCCCTCCCCCTCTCACCCGCATCTCGTCTGCTCCGCCGAGTGGGCTGTAGCTAGCATTCGGCTGGCGTACAAACTGTTTAAAATCGCGTCATTTTGGAAATTTCAAGCGCAGATGCGCATATTTTGGTATGCCAGTTATCATGTAATACTATGCTAGATAAAAAGACTCACAGGGTCCAATTGCGCTGTTACCTGCGTGCAAATAAAAAAAAAAAGAGGAAAAACTGTCAGATTGGCCGATCTCTCCGGCGAAAAGTAAATCCGGTTGCTCTATATTTTTTTACTATACAAAGTTCGTACTGGTGTAGGCCTTTAGCGACCATGAGTGGAAATCTGAAATAATAACTAAAAACGTGCTCTCCTGCCGCAATACACGCAGTAGTTGGGGGTACTGCCGGCCGACTCAACTGCTATTTAAGTAACGGAAAGAAGATATGTTAGTTGATCATTTACCGAAATAGAACAACAGAGAGCTATAGGCTGATTTTGGAGTAGCCATAACTATTCTAAGAACGCGAACCACTTTACAACGGCAGCCACGAGCGAGAGTTCGATGTTCCGTACAGCCCGCCGATACAGCCCAAAGATGGAGAATGGCAACCTCCCGGTTTGTCGTCTGCTAGCGGAGTCGGCGCGTGCCCTCTCTCTCGTTTTACCCCGCCGAACCCGCTGAATTTCCCGGATGTATGGAGAGGGCGCTGCTGTCGAACAAAATGGTGCCGCCCAGAGATCGCTAAATGGAATGAACCCAGCGGTCGCGCTCTCGCGCGCTGACGACCGGACTGCACTCCCGCGAAAGACAAAAAAAAATAAATATAGTTTCCTATTTTTATGACTATTATTGCTGTATTATGTTCCCTCTCCGCGAAAAATTAACATTTTTCGACCACTCTTTGCTTTTATTATCTACAAAAGTATACATATTTTGTAAGAACAGTGTTTGCAATCTCAACGAAATGTTGCGTTTTCATTGGTCACATGCCGTCCTGGCTGCCGGCACGTCGTTCCTCCCAACGCCGGAGATAATTTCGATCTTTGATTGTTTGTTTAATATGGAAATCGGCCAAGCATCGTTATGATTTATGCATTTCTAGGATGCTTAGCTCAGAGCCCGCAGAAAGAACTATCGCGATATTTAGGCGATCTCAAAAACCTCCTGAGGGCACCTTTAAGCACTAGGTCTATTCAATGTCTCGTTCATGTGCCTCTCGTTGAAAACAATGGCTCAGGCTCTGCAACTTTCACGAGTTGAGGTAAAGCCCTGAAACAAGAAAAGGTCACATTCGATGTGGAGTATTAACTCTTTGCCTGGGGGTATATGTTCTGTTTGTTGAACGACATTTCATTCCCTGTGATGCAGCGCATGCTGTCTAAATCAGTACTGAGAGTAAGATGTTCTTGATATCGAGATAATCGCAACACAGCTTACAATAAAGCACCTCGGATTCGGTGTTGTGCACCGTTTATACCGTGAGAGTTGCGCAGTTCTTCAAAGGGGCCAAAGGCTCAAAAAGGCCACAAAGCCTATGACTGTTTAGAATGTTCAGAAAAGCCAGAAGGGGCTCATCTGGTGCAACCGAGACAGAGGTCCAAACTAGGTTGTGCAATATGCCGCCCGGTACGAAAGTCTGCTGATGGCCTGAGAGTGGCGGCCGACGTTTCGCAAATCTCTTAGCGAAACGTTGCCGCCACGACCTTTAAGAAACTTTTTATTGCTTCCTACTAGCGGCTACGACCTTTGTGTAGATTTTATTATTGCGAAGGAAGATAACAAAATGGCATCGTTCGTCATTTTTCAAACGATCATCTTGAATCTTTTCCTTGCCCTGCAATGGCAAAATTGAGCCAATGCGGTGCAATGAATGGATATATCTCTACTGTTGATCTATCCATTCATCTACTTGACAGTTTCTATTCTTTTCGTTTGCGCCTAAGAGTATCTACCGTTCGCAAAACTAGATCAGCAGAAAGGGGCCCGGAACTCTGCCTTCTGCATCATTTCTTTTTAGAAAGTAAAGCACCCGCTGCCATATGTTTCCTATACAGATTCAAGCACCGTTTCTCAGGCCGCTTATTTCGCATCTTACCCTGAACTTACCTCGGTGGCGGCGCCTCCTGGAAGACATCTCCGCAATCAGGGGCCAGGCTGACGTCATGGCCGTACATGAGGATGTTATGGATAGACAGAATCGCTCGCCCGTGGACTCGGGTGATCTCTTGCATGTGACTCAAGCTCTCCTCCATCCATACTTTCAGCTGAAACAGGCACAGGCACAACGACGCTCGACAACTGGTGGCTGCAGGATTGATGGTTACAACCCAAAGGCACCCATAAACCAAAGAATCGGTTAAAATCGGAAAACGCCCCATCGCCCAGTGATTATTTGAAGTAGAAGTCAATAAGTCGTCAACCTTAATGTGAATTGAAATATAAAGGGCCAGTTCACCTAACATAGAAAAGCTCAAAACGAATTTATTTAATTTTTTACGATTTTACGATTTCCCATTCTCTAAGGAGCAGAGATGTTACACGGCCCCACAGACACTGCGCTCACCCACATGACGGCAAAGAAGCAACAGCGGGGAACACACAAACACACACACACACGCACGCACACACACACACACACACACACACACACACGCACGCACGCACTCGCGCACGCGCACGCGCACACACGTACGCACACACGCACACACGCACGCACGCACGCACACACGCACACACACCATATATTTTTTTTTAGGAGCGCAGCTTTTAGGCACCCGTTTCCGTGTTTTGCGGCGTCGTCGTAACTGCGTTAAATTTAGCGGCAAAATTGACGTCACGTGACCTCACACTACTTCAATTCCCCGCTAAATTTAACGGAAAAATTTGTTTCTCCGCTAGATTTAGCGGGAAAATTGACGTCACGTGACGTCCACACCAATTTAATTCCCCGCTAAAGTTAGCGGGGAATCGAACTGGTATTGAGGTTACACGACGTCATTTTCCCCGCTAAATTTAGCAGGGAGACTGAATTGGAGGAAGAGGGAGAGGAGAGAATGGAGGACAGGAGGGTACGGAGAAGTAGGAGGGGCATACTCTCCCCTCCGTACCCTCCCCTCCTCCTCCTCAAGAGCTGCGCTCTAATTTCGCATTAGGGAGATTTGAAAACGTCTTTTATTTTTGAGAGCGCAGCTCTTAGGCGCCCGTTTCCGCGTTTCGCGGCGTCGCCGTCGGCGTAACCGCCCCGCTAAATTTAGCGGAAAATATAATTGTTGAGGTAACGTGACGTCAATTTTCCCGGTGAATCTAACGGAGAAACTGAATGTGTTTATGGGTAACGTGACACAAAAACATGTAACGTCATTTTCCCCGCTAAATTTAGCGGAGAATCTGAATTGATGTTGAGGACACGTGACGTCAATTTCCCCGCTAAAGTTAGCGGAGAAACTTAACCCGCTAAATTTAGCCGGGAAATTTGTTGCTAAATTTAGCAGGGGTAATTTTCCCGCTAAATTTAGCAAAGAAATTTTCCCGCTAAACATAGCGGGAAAATTTTCCCGCTTTATATTTTGCAGAGAAATATTACCCGCTAACTTTAGCGGATTAAGAAGCAAGAGGGGAGGGTACGGAGCGGCATATCCTCCCCTCCGTGTACCCCCCCCCCCCCCCCCCCCTCTTCCTTCGCTTGAGCTGCGCTTTTATTTCGCATTACAGAGATTTGTACACGTCTTTTATTTTTTTAAGCCAGATTAAAAGCACAATTATTCTCGGGTGAAATACCGAACGTACGCCCGATATAACATTTCTCGGCAAACAACGCATATGCCAGATACATTGTCCCAAGTTTGTATCTTCTGTCCCTGACGCCAACATTTGTACCCTATCGTAAATGATACGATTATACGTCATCCTAATGGATGCAACACACTGGCATCGTAACGGTGTGCATTTAATCAAAGTTAAAGCTCAATGTTAACGATCACACTGCTTAGGTTAAAACATCCCTCGCCTTATCACATCGCCATGAAACAAGTGTGTCGAAGATTCGCTCTCATTTCTCACTGACGCCGTGAAAGGCACAACATAACTAGGGGCTCGAGAAAAAATAAAACAGTATGCACGGTTTCATTACACTTTGTGGACATCAGAATGGTGTGTTTTCAAAGAACGCAGAGTGAAAATAAACTGAGTACCTGTGGAAGTAAGAGACGCTCGATCTTTCCTTGGCGTACTGCTGAAGTCTTGAGCCTGCTATTCTGGTTTTTGGCTTCAGCGAGGACAAAGGCCAGCACCTTGTTCTGCTCGATCACAGTTCGCAACCGCTTCTTCAGCTTGGCTGGGGAGACGTAAAAAAACACACACACAAAAAAACATAAAAACCACACACACACAAAAAAAAATTTTTTTGACAAGCAAAAAAAAAAAACGAAGGATGTTGCAGGATAAAAAAACCAGAACAAGCATAAATACTTAACGAGCGCATTGGTAACGTCAGCAACAACAAGAAAGAACAAACACACAACAAACAAAAACACAAACAAGCACTTTTTTTCTGTAGTGGATATTCGAGAGAACATCTACTTCTTGGAAGAAGCCTTATTTGCAGCAGTCTTCTTAGCAGAAACCTTTTTCGCCGTCTTGGGCTTTTTGGGGGCTCTTGGGTGCGGCGGCCTTCTCTGCCTTTGGATTTTTTGGGCTTGGACGATTTGGGCTTCGCTGACTTGGCCCTCTTAAAGGGATACCTCAACGAAATTTGAAATATACCCGTCGTGTTCAAAAATAGGTTGAATATGATCCACAAATCCGCAAATGACAATCGCACGTTTGTATTTTGAGCCTGGTGGCTGTATTTTTCGTTATAAACGGCCCACTATAGCAAGCGCTCGGAGAATAGCCAGCGGAGAGCACGTGACATTCAATGCAATAGTGACGCGTAGTTTGTCTCGGGACGAGCAAAGCTAAGGCGAGGCTGACGTCGAGAGGATGGCCTAGTCGTTCCAGCCACCGAAGCGGCTGCTTTTGTACAAATTTTGACTGACTGGTTAATCTTCTATAATCGTAAAGAGCGGCAATAGCGACTTCTGGGACACACAAAAGGAATTCTCGGGAAGAGGGGCATTAATCATGCCCACGCGCTGGGGTTGGCAAAAAACGCGTGCTGAGCTCCAGGCATTGTTATTAGAGTTCGGCTATTTTTATCACCGCAGTGGTTGAACACAAGCCCCTACCCGAGTGCCCACCGGGGCATTGATCGTTACGAGCTGAAGTCGAGTGCTCACGCCGTTCTCGTGTTCAATCTATGAGCTGGCGCTCGACTGTCGTCAGGCGGGTGGTGTCGATCTAACAATTACTGAGGGAAATAGTCCCTTTTCATCATCACAATTTCACCGCGACAAAGAAGCTTCTGGATCAGTGGTGGTCTGTATAAGTTTAGTCGGGCCAGACTAGGAACAGTACGCCTCTGCAAAGTCATGAACATTCCAACCCGATATCTCTTTATGACCCCTTTAAAGAAGTTTCAACACTTTTTACGAAGTGAAGGTGGCCCCTGCATGTAGTACAGCCGACGAAATATGAGTTAGTAAAAAAAAAAAAAGTTTCTTGAGTAAAGAAACTGCCACATGGAGTGATGAGTTCGCAACCTTGCGTAAAGGTCCATACGCACATTCGCGTTTGAACGCGTTTGAGTGCGTTGCGGAGTCCTTGCTTCCTGCAACGCTCGGTAGCGCGACGCAAGCGAGTAGAGACTCGCTCAACTTTCCGAAGCGTTGTGTTGCGTTCGGGTGCGTTCGACCAATCAGGAGCCGAAAGAGGAGAGGGGGTGACGTGTTCGCTCGCCCCACCCTGCCGACTCGACGAGACGTATCTAGAGTGCCTTCATGTGCGCTTCGCATAGAGTGATGCCAACTGCCTGTTTCCCTTTCCCACACCCTCTTCCACCGACATTTTGTTTCTCTCATTGTTTCCCCGTGCGCCGGAAAGTGGCCTTTGTGTCCATCAGTAATCTCATCGGAGGGAGAAAATGTTAATCCTCCCTCCGTGGGTTCCACAACGTTGCTCCGAACTTCTGAGATAAGGTGCTTGTTTCCGGGAGGGTTATAAGCCCCACGGATTATCGCCGAGGAAGAAAATGGCTGCTGGTTTGTCGGCGAGTGGTATTACAAAGGGTGGCATCACCCTAGCAAAGCGCACATGAAGGCTCCCTAGACGTATCCGGTTCGCCGGTCGCAGTGCTTGCTTTTTTCGTTTTGGGGAGCGGTGGGGACTGTATTTTCCAAGGCTGCGATGGTTCAAGCTTGACAAAACGTCGGGGAAGCCGGCGAGATTATCCCAAGATCGAACATTTCGACGCTGTCACCGTGCGCCGCCATGTTGCCTGGGATTTCGCTTACTATTGGTGAGCCACTAGCGACGATAGCGCGTTCTTACCGGCCCTTGACTGCGGTTGACTGCGTGTCAACGCACCTGTGCGTACAAGTTTAGCGCAAGCGGTCTTCGCAACGCAACGCGTCCGCTTGCCGCTACGGAACGCACCGCGCTCAAACGGGAATGTGCGTAAGGGCCTTTATGGCGCATTCACACTGGAAGCGGATCCGCGTTCGCGAAGCGGTCGCGGATGCGGTTCGCGAGCGACCCCGTTCAGACACACCGAGAGGCGGTTGGCGGTTTCTCGGCGATCACGCGTGATCTTTTGAGACTTGCGTTTGGCAACCCTGTTTTACAATCCAAAATCCACTTTAATTCAAGATCCAAAGCCAAACTTTTGCTATTTTGGCTAGGGGTGTCGCGAACTTTTGTCGAACCGGATTTTTAGGTCGACCTTTAAGGGTTCGACTGAGTCAAACCGGTTCGACGAACCTTCGACCTTTTTACCAGATTCGACCGGTTCGACTTTGCGGACAGTGTGGCCAGACGTTAATACACGCATGTCTAGGTTTGGAGAATTTATTTTTATGCAGAGGGTTATTTTATTTTATGAACACTTGCAATTAGAAGAAACCAATTCTAATCACTGAAGACGTTAATAACATAATTTTTTTGTACTGTATTAACTGAAATAACCAATTAGCGGTGCCCTTAATTCATCCTTTAGCCATTACCATCCAATCTGAATCCAAATTGCCAGCCTGTTGCGCATGCGCACACGTGTCGAACCTCAATACAAGGTTCGTCGTAATTTTCACAAAAGGTTCGCAAAAATCGAACCTGGTCGAACTCGAACCTCGGCCGGTTCGCGACACCCCTAATTTTGGCACTCGGAGTATTTTTCTCCGGGATGTTCGCGCGCATCACGAGTTCAGGAAGCGAAAAAAAAAAGCATGGACCCGCCAAACTCGCCTGTGATTCTCTCGACTCCGCCCACAAGCAAAGCCCAGCTAGGCGCGCCTTGCTGACTCAGAACAGGATGCCCCCGACCTTTTCTTCGAAGTGGACCCTTCCCGCATGAATAGCTGACCTTGTTTTCGGGATGGAGGGCCAGTTTTCCCCCTCGTTGTTGTTCCCTCTTATCATTTTCGAAGTTGTGGGCGGTGGGCTGGACCGTGGTGCGGGGGAATAGGGAGTTTTAGTAGACCGTATTTCCCCCTCCGCTACGAAGAAACCACCACTGCGCCTGCGCGCCGATGGCCTTGACTGTAGAGTTCCGGGTAGCGGAGGGGCTGAGCGGAGCGGGAAACACGGTCTACTAAAACTCGCTAATGTGTTCGGTGCTAGCCGGTCGTGGCTTCGTTGGTGGCGGACTCACCTCTCGTCACTTGCTCGTCGATCGAGTCTACTGTTTGTTCGACATTAAGCTCAAATAAACGCCGTATGGATTACCTTTGCATTGTCTGGTACGTACACTTTATTCCTTGAGTAGGTTCCCTTTATTTATTTTATTAGTAGCAAACGTTACAGGTCGAGCTAGCGCAGGTACCCTGCCCCCTCCGCGGTAGTGCGTTGGCTACGCAATCAAGCTCACGACGTCTCTATCGGCCTTCGTGGTAGTCATGCACGGTGTCGAAAGCTTTCAATAGTTCATGCGACTATACTAGTGTGTAGAAAAGCTGACATTTCGGTCGATCAGGGGCGGGTTCCGACGTTCTACGGGCAGAGATTAACAAGGCAGCGAGCTTGGACTTTTGGCACCCGGAATAATAAACAAACTCTTACCCGAACCAAATCACCGGTGCGAAGCGCGTTAAATTTACGAGTCAATTCTTTTCGCGGCGGATTCAAGTGACAGACGTGAATATGAAGTTTCTCCGTTGATTTGTCGAAAGCTAAGACTACATCGCTAGGACTACAGCGCCTTGGACGCCTCACCAGCGACAGGTGCCATCTTGTTTCGAAAGTCACTGACGTCACGTCAGCGTCTCGTTGTGATTGGTTGCCGCTTTGGGGTTCGTGAAAGCGGTTGGGAGAAATCGGTCCCGAAGCGGTTGGCAAAAACGCGCTCCAACCGCTCGATCCTAGCCGCTTTGCGGTTGAGAACGCGCGGATCCGCTTCGCGAACGCGGATCCGCTTCCAGTGTGAACGCGCCATTAGTCTCGACGGTGTGTCCACGCTTTCATAGATAACGGCAACCAGCATGTAAGCTAGGGGAGCGCATTTTGTGTAAAGAGCACGCTCTCTTCCAGTTTATACTGCTGCTACGCAAAATTTTAATTTGCAAACATCCACTGTCGAGCCAGTCGGCATAGAAGGAAAAAAAATGTGGCATTGCAGTTACGAATCTTAGGATGCGCGAAAAGCGCTTTCTAGTACTTCGTTTCACCATAAATAATAGCGCGAATTGAAGACATACAAACAAGGGCACAGATACTAAAGCGCAAGGTCACACGCGCACACTGCCTCAAACCTAACGCTGAACCGCTGCTGTCCATCGGTAGGTGGAACGGCCTATAGGGGGTATTCGCGCGACGTCATTTTGTTGGGAGTTGTTCGCAGCGCATGCTCAGAACGATGCTCGAGAACAACTTTTTCTGGCATAACAAAAAAAAAAAGCGAACACCGCGAAATCACAGCGTTGATCGGTGCTCAAGGTCTACGTGCGCACCGGTATACCCACAGCTTTGACTTCGCTGCCTGCGAGGAAAGCACCAGGATGCATGTTGAACGTCTATTCCACAAAATCATGATCGTTGCTCTTGAAAGACGATAAATAGGAGCTAGTTCTGAGCATGCACTGTGGACAACGCCCAACAATATGGCGAGTATTAGCTTGCGACCATAGCTGTGAGCTCGGCTGCTGAGCGCGTGCTGACGGCGGGCTCCCACAGTCTTTTTGCTACGTGCATCCCGCACCATCAAGACTGCCGGTCTTAGCAGCCTCGTTCTGAGCATGTGGTCTACATTTCGCCCTCGAATATGGCGTCCAGGGAATACCCCCTACAGACGTCTCGACCCATAATATAAAATAAAGTGTTCATGTTCTATTCGGAAAGGGGGTCCTATTTCGACAGATACTAAGCAAAAAAGCGTCCTGAGCTGATGTTACTGCTCAAGAAACGCGCATTTGGCGAGACGCTTTCCATGTAACGTTAATCAACACGCAATTCTTCAAGAATTCGACAAAATAGGTACTTACTCAGAATAAATGACTGCGAGAGATAAGAACTGCCGTGACTCTTGTTGAACACTGCCTTTTTCGTGTTCAAAACCGCCCGACCTTTCCTTTGGGTCACCTAGAAATGCCGTAAATGAGGAACAAAAATGCAGGTTGCTATTGAAAGAACCCCGTGTTTTTATACCAACAAAAGTTACCTTTTGTAGTGGCATCTTTGAATGCTCCACTGACGTGGCGACCTGCTGAAAGAGAATGGGCGAACACTGCAGACCAAGAGTGCCTGCTGGGTTATAGCGATCGTGTTCGAAAGCACGTGAGATGGTCAAGCCGGTGAAGCGTTGCGAAGTCACAAAACGAAAGAGTAGTCAGCTTGGCAGCACTATCGCAGTTCGAACAAAAATTTATCAGAAGTTGCAGATGATTGGACGTTGCCAGAATGCGCGCGAAAGAGAGCCAAGTCACGTGAAACCTGGATTGAAAATGAAATACCCTTGTCTAAGACTATGACCCAGACTTTCTTAATACTTATCTCTTGTTGTTGTTTTTTTTTTGTTTTTTTTTTTGTTGATCTCATTGATTTACAATGTGGTGCCGTCACGGCGAACCCTACTATATGGCTCTGGCCGTATGCTGTATCTGTGCCGGCGTGAAAAAGTGTAAACTGCGTCGTCTTTTTCTATTAGATAAAGCCATGGACGTTGACGAAGTATTTTTATACCCCTGTCAGACGGGCACGTTAAATGACATTTAGGCAAAATGACATTACAGCTCGGCAAATCCGCGTGTTTCATACGCCACGCTGCGCGTGCATGCGCCACGTGCAGAACCAGGATCACGAGCTGATTCTCCGAGCGGTGAATGACATTCGGTCAAAATGACATTTACTTTCCCGTCTGACAGGGGTATTATTCAAATTGACTCCAGTTTTTCTTTTTTTTTCTTAATTTGAAGGGTTAGTAAACATCTTCTCACTCACTTAGGCATGCTTGAAGAAGTCCGTCAGGGACTGTGCGGTCAGTGCGGTTTTCTGGAAACAGGGGCATGTGAGTGCGCTTCTATAAATTCTAGTTTTGGTGATCGATAGTTAGGTGTGTGCGAATAACAGCTCGATTTGAATAGCGCAGTGTCATCCCTAGCTTTAACACTGCTAAGAAAAGCACTTGTCGTGGCTTTCCTTTCTACTGAGAAGGTTGTGAAGGACGCACTTGCAACCGAGTACGACCGAGTGAGACAAGACCGGTTTTTAAGCCTCGCAGGACCAGATGCGCTGCTGCGGGGCAGCTCCTAATCCGTCGCAAGAGGCTTAAAAACCGGTCTCGTCTCAGCCGGTCCTACTCGGTTGCGAGTGTGTGAACGAGCCTTTATTCAATTCGAGCCGGTAATCGCACGCCCTCGATAATATTTTGAGTACATCTGTTTTCAGCTTGCTCGTTCAACCTCTAATTATCTTCTCCATTCCCCTACTAAGCTTCTTGAACAGCGCTACGTAACTGGCACAAGGTAATCCGTCTTTTCTGAAATCATAGTACCAGCGTTTTTGATATAAAAACGCATGTTCACGTTCTATAGATTCACAAGCTACAGTGAGAGGCGTTCAAGCGAGAAGTTCGTGCCACCGTCCGTGTTGAGCACAGGCGTTTTCTGCCCACACATCTTGAACCGGCGATTTCCTAAAAAGATGAATTGTGAGAAAGCCGATTTGGTTCATTCTTGAGCTCAGTCTTTTAAAGGGGTACGGAAACGAAATTACGTGACCCCGAACCCTCCAGCTCTCGCTTCAAAGTCGGCCGGTGAGAAGAGCCATGCATATCGCGCCAGTGACGTCAAGAGTTCCTGCACGGGCAAGGACATCCGGCCACCAGGGTAGTGTTTCTCCTGAGTGCCACCAACGGCTCAAGACTTCGGTCCACCATCCGGAGCGAGTCCTCAGTAGACTCGGACATCATCTAGGGGTCCTTCATCGATGCCTACAGTAACGTGACTCTCAAGTCCATCATGTTGCGGCGGACGTCCACATTCTGCCGCCACGCTCGGTTCGTCGTCAAGATAGACGACGACACGTAGCTGAACGCAGACTTGTGCCCGTAACTTAAAAAATGTAATGGATTACAATTACAAATTACCGAGCCTCAACGATTACCAAATTAACGGTAATCGTTACAAGTAATTTGTAACGATTACCGTTACAAATTACTTTCGTTGACGAGTAACGGATGACTTTACTCGTTCCGTTACAAATTACTTTTACATTACTTTTCTCGTGCAGTTATCAAGAAAACATTTTGATGTTTTCAAAAATGTTCTGCAACACTACTTTCCATTTCTAATACGCCCGCATTATGGAAGTCCTTATTTAAATAAAATATTGTATTTAAGAGAAAGAATGTAGTTGCACTTCGTTCACCTGTAAGCTCACAAGGCAGCGAAAGATGCGAGCACACCCGCCATCCCGGTATATATCTTACGGCGACCGAAAACTATCCCTGGAATTCTGCAGACAAAGCTACCGGTGCGCATGTTATATTATGCAAAAGTGAGGGAGATCGGTAGCCGAGTGGGCTAGCGCACACAATAAAGAAAAAAAAAATGGGCTATCGCACACCAGCTCGGAGCACGTGGAGCGAAAGCTCGCTCTGCAGAACCCCAGGGATCATGGGTTCAATCCCCACCCTTGCCCGTTTCGATCTGGATGAGCATCGTACCGGTGTGTGGTTATGTATGACTACTGCGTGGTGCACGTTAAAGACCCCTAGCTAGCGGTTTGTGATGCACTGGCTAAATTTCTCGTCTACAGCTGGAGACAAGCCGCCCGTTGAGGCAGTTCTAGGCTGTATAAACCTACAGACATACCAACTTTTTTAACGCAAAAGTGTGTACACACTTTTTGTGCGTACGTACTTTTGTGTGCACACACTTTGGGTACACGCGATATTATTATTATTTTTTTGTGTGTGTGTTTTATGGTTCTATCTTTTGCATTGTGGAATCATGATAACTGGTCTTATGAATTTTTTTATGGGCGTCATCATACAAGCCCTCTGCAGGCTTTGATATGCCCGTATCTAGTACAATTGAATTCCAATTTGTGTGGAATTATTATTATTATTATTATTATTATTGTTAATATTATTATAACTAATAATAATAATAATAATAATAATAACAATAATGCATTTTATTTCCATCAATGGTACATCAATGGAGGAGACCATGGAAAAAAGCTGTGTCGAGACAGCTTGACGAGCCCATGGCCCCCTTATTGTCGATGAAATACAACTTGGTGGTGCAAAAAATGGTACAAGAGCAAACATGGAGAAATTATACAATCGTAATACAAGCACTGTCTGAAAGCAAAAATAGTGGTTTTATCATGGTTTCAGATCTAAAAACACACCGCCAAGTGTGCGGTGTGCATAACATGCACACCGCAAGCTTTGTCTGCAGGATTCCAGAGATTCCGGTCGCCGTAAGCTAGCGAAATGTCGGCTGTGTTTGCACCCGCTACCCCGTCACTAGAAACGTATACCTCCACTACATCACGTGGACAAAGCCTGTTTTTCGCATATTTGTATATGCCTTGCACATTTTTCTAGTGGTTCTAGTAACCATTCATACGAAAAATCGTGTTTTTTTTCCCCCGGTAATTCTCCTCTTCACAGTTTTTTCTATTTTGTTGAACTTGTTGTCTTTATGCTGCTGAATTGCCTGCTCATATTTCTCCAGTTTCTGTATTACGCTCATATTTAGAAAAAAGTAACGCGTAATAAAGTAATGCGCTACGAATATTTAGTCACGAAATTACATTACAAATTACTGCCGCAAAGATGTAGCGTGGCAATTACAAAATTACTTGTAAAAGTAACGGATTACAAGTATTGCGTTACTTGTAACGGACTATTTCCCAAGTCTGCCTGAACGCTGCCAACATCTTCGCGACGATGGCTCCGCGCCCACCGGATATGGCCGGCTCTTCGAGGGCAGCAATCCTATCAGAGACCTGGCTGACAAGTATCACGTAAGCCTCAAAGATTACCCTGCGTCCTCGTATCCGAACTACGTGGCGGGTTCCAGCTACGTGCCGGGCGGACACGTCGTAGAGACGCTTTCCAGAGCGACGGGCCAAGTGAAGCTTTTCCCCATCGAGGACGTTTACATTACCAGCTCCCGCGCCGAGAGCGCCGGGGTCCGTCGTGTGGGCCTCTATAGACCTTTCCAAAAAAAGCGCTCTGGCCGCCGCCATTTTGCAAATCGAGCGACCCCTATCAGACAGAAATTTCTGGCACCCGCCTGAGCTGTGGAGACCCGGTCAGCGTGACTCCCCACCTGCATTTTGCATTCGGAGTTCGGCGGCTTTTCTTGGAAGTTTTTATTTTATTCGCTTGCTTAGGATGCTTACCCTTTGTATTTTATCTTCCACTGTGAGAACCAGGGAATACAAGGGCTCGTAGCCCGCTCGGCCTTCGCAGAAAACGAACGAAGAGAGCGAACGTCAAGCCAGGACCAACTTAAATAAGCCCCCTATTCAAGTTGGTCCTGCGTCAAGCAGCCCGCGACGCAGGCAGTTCGACGTGCTTGGAGGATTATTTTCGTCGAGATAATCTCCAAAAAGCCTTCCCGGGTGTGTTCCGGGTCTTCGCGAAAAATAGCCGATAGGGTCGGGTTCGGGTTGTGGGGACAGAATAGACACGTTCGTTCATTTGCTTTGGAGCTGTGCAAAAAAAGCTGCTCTCTTCTACATGTTCCCTAAAACGCGCCGGATTCCGTCCGATTGTCATGAAGCGACTATCGTCGACACTGTATATTGGATATGCTGTGTTAGTTGAGACCTTTCTCAAATCCTGTTCGGATAACGCGGCACCGTGGGGTACGTACAATATATGTTGTTCGATTGATGAGACTCATTAAATTTCATGTTGTGGGCGGGGAACATCCATGCAGTTCGGATATCCTGTGTGGTCAAATATTTTGACCTCTATAGATTGACACGGCTGAGTGTACGGTGCCGTAAAACGATGAACATAAAATGAAACAACCATTCCAGTTGCATTTGTTCTGTCGCGCACGGACTCAATAAAACAGCTTTCATTTCTTTGTTTTTGTTCCAAAAAAATAGAGCACTGCTTTCTTAAATACTTTTATAAATTATGTTCGCCACAGAACACAAAATAAGAAAGAAAACGCGGCAATTTAGCCTCCACCAGCGTCCGGAATTGCGCCTACGCAGGTTGCCACAGCCTACTGACGAGAAACTCCACAGCTCAGCGCAGTCGGGCAACACTGAGGTACACTCTCAAAACCAGGGACGCGCGCTGTAAATCGTTTCGTTCGAGACTGCCGCTGGAAAGGTCTATAGGTTCCACTCGCAGAGTGGGGTCTCTCTGCTACACGCCGCCGCGGGAGATGTACGTACACCTTCAGGGACCAACTGCAACGCCTGGAATTCGTATGATACCGGGTCCTATTCGACTTTGCGTGCTACCGTTATGCTATAGGACGTCGCTCCCGACTTGAT